ACTGGTGACGGATCTCATCCGTCGCTAATACTTATTGGCAACAGATGAGATCCGTCGCCAATGTGTATTAGCAACGGATGTGTTCCGTCGCCAATACTAATGTGCCCATCGTAAAATTTTGAAATTATTAATTGATTATCCTATTGTTAATGAGTGACCCCCATAAAAAATTAAGAATTATTTTAATATTAGTCCCTCAAATCTATAATATTTAAAAAGTAGTCCACCAAATTATGTAAATTCCTCAAATCTATAATATTTAAAAAGTAGTCCACCAAATTATGTAAATTGCATGCTAACACATCTAGGGATGTAATTGAACCAAAAGTAGTCCACCAAATTATGTAAATTGCATGCTAACACATCTAGGGATGTAATTGAACCAAATAATTAATAAATAGTTCGATAATTGTTCAAATAACTTTTCAGTCATATTCGATTCGGTAGTTCATTTAACACATTCAAGTTTGCTAACGATTAGAAGTTGACCAGATGTACGTACATTCGATTCGTTTGTTTATTAAATATTTGTTTAAAATTGAACACATCTTATTATTTGTATTATTGCATATATGATGTCATATTTGTGTGTTTTGGCTTCATCTTTATTTAGTTTAGAGAAAATGATGAGAAAATGGTGAGAGATCAATTTGGAGATCATTTTTAGTTATACGCGTTACGAACATGTAACCATATTGATTTTTTTAATGATACACCAGAACTTATCATAGCTCTTATCAATTAATTAGGAGTTCTATGTTAGTTTTAAAATTTATTTTTTATTATTTATTTTTAAAATTTATTTTTTTTATTCGAATTTGCTAACGATTAGAATTTGATCAGATGTATATTCGATTAAAATTTATCTTTGATTTTTTGTCTATTAAATATTCATTTAAAATTGATCACAAGTTATTATTTGTATTTTGCATATATGATGTCACATTTTTAATTGATCACAAGTTCTATGTTATTTTTTATTCTTTATGCTAGCAAATTCGAAGAGCTCTACTACTCTTGGCTTTATTTACGGATCAACTTGTGACGCCCCTGTTTTCACACACGGGTACAGAGTATAAATAAATCATGTCTCAAAGAACAAGTCTGGGATACACTTGATATCCTGAAATATATAAATGTATCACGACATGAATCAACTAAGAATGTACCGCTCATAGCCTTTACAAAGTGAGGAATAAAGAAAAACTCTAATAACCGACCTCTTCACATAACCATGTTGGGGCTCATTACATGTTTTCTCTTACCATCAAGGTGAGATCTGTTATACTTTTTCATTTTTATTACAGAATTTTTCTATGACGGATTTCATGAAAATAACACAGCAAACCATGTACTCGCTGTTTATTTTGCTATTTGGTTCTATCGTCTTACTTTGTGTACTGTATTTATTGAATTAAATCCTATCAAAACCTTTTTCATTTAGAAAATTTGTCTAATGGCGCCCATCTATTCAGAGAACTTAATGAGTCTTAATTTTATTTCGTTGAGATTTTTTTGCTAGAAATTTAAGAAATGTTACTGGAGAAAAGGAAAAAATATTACCGAAAGAAAGCCTTGACGTTGGCAATTTAAAAGACCTTGCTTTTAATTCTGGAACTATTTTCAGAATTAAAAGTTGCTTGTTGCAGAATGTATAAAATCAAACTTCGTTACAAGGTTTTTTTTATTGTGAGTGGGAAAGGGGGAAAAAATAAAAAAAACTTCGTTCTCAAAACCCCCGCGCCTCTCAAACCCCCCAAAATTTCCCCCCCCCCCAAAAATTCCGACTCAAAAACCCAAAGTTCCCCCTCAAATCCATCGTTCTCCAAACCAAACCCTAGGCTGCAGCGTTTCTCATTCTCAACCCCCCCCCCCCCCCCCCGCCTCTCACCTCAATTCTCCAAACCGCCGCTACCGCCGCCTTGCCCGCCCGCTCGCCTGCCCCAACAGCCGCCCCCACCCCGCGCCCGCGTCGTCCACACGCCGAACCGCGCGTCCACCCGCCAGCCTCCTTACGCTTGATCCCCTCCGAATCTTTCACCTCCGCCCCCTCCTCGATCTCCAGCCTCGATCACATCCATGGATCGAATAAAGGCGGAATCTTTGAGATCAGGGCAAGAGGGTTTCATTTGGGTACGATAATGGACCAACTGAGCTAGGAACATTAAATGAAGCTCTTCAAGAATTACGTGATGGAATTCAGGTAATTTGTCATTTATAAATATTTTCTCTATGAAGATAAGCTTATAATGTATGAAATAATGTTATTAGTAAATTTCTTGAAAAAACTTAGAACCATGGTCAAGGTTATTAACCATGATCACGTCCATGGACTTTTGAATGATGATTGCTGAAAGCTGTTCATTTTCTGCTATATTTGTGGGCGGAAAATGTCAGATATCTGGTAAAATGCTTAATTTACTGCTTGGTTGTATAATCTATAGTTTCAATAGAACAATTTTCAAACAATACTCGTCATATAATCCAAATAAATACTCATCCAATTTCATCCGTCAATCCACAATATCGAACAATACTCGTCATACAATCACAATCACAATACATCTCGCATGCAAGTGGTGGAGAGGTATATATGTCATTATATATATGTATTTATTATGAGTATTTTGGAATATATTCTCATATTGATTTACATTCTTTTTAGGTTAGATGAGGTACCGCCGTAGGTAGCAGTAGTACGATACGACATTCTGATGCAACCGCCACCGATGATAGATATCACGACGATAGGAACCACGATTATGATGAGTGAGTGGTGAGTTAGACTTTTTGGTAACTTTTGTGGATTTTTGGATTGTGTTGAACATATTATGACCTCCTGATTATGTAAATGTTAATATTGTTGGATGTGAATCGATGAATGTAAATATTAATATTGTTGGATGTGAATCGCTGAATGTGAATGTGAATATTGTTGGATGTGAATTGATGATTGTGAACGGGAATATTGTTGGATGCGAATCGATAAATGTGAATATTGTTTAATATATTGTGAGTATTGTTCAATATATTGTGAATATTGATAGTAACAGGTACACATTCCCGATTGGGGGTTTTTGCAATGCAGTAAATTTTTTTTCCTGATTATATACATTGGCGATGGATATATCCGTCACCAATGTTCATTGGCGACGGGCTTTTGCTCGTCGCCAATGAACATTGGCGACGGGCTTTTGTTCGTCGCCAATGAACATTGGCGACGGGTTAAAACCCGTCGTCAATGTTCATTAGCGACGGGCAAAAGCCCGTCACCAATGTTCATTGGCGACGAGATTAGGCCCGTCACCAATGTTCATTGGTGACGAGCAAGAGCCCGTCGCCAATGTTCATTGGTGACGAGCCTAATCCCGTCGCCAATGAACATTGGCGACGGGTCAAGCCCGTCGCCAATGATCTTTTACCAATACATGTCTGTCGCCAATGTTTATTGACGACATGATTATTGGTGACGGACTCTTCCCCGTCGTGAAAGTGTATTGGTGACGGATTTTGCTGTATTGGCGACGGATTTCCTCGTCGCCAATGCTCATTTTTCTACTAGTGTTGGTAGATAGTTTCAGTTAGTGTTTTCCATTGAGTTTTAAAAATAGCTTACGTAAATATTTTGATTGTAAAATGATTCTGTTGATGTAATGTCTCAGTTGTTTTTGTTTATTTCTAAGTAAAAATTTTCATTTTTTGTAGTGTGATGGACTGATTTTCAAAATGGTCCCTTGTAGTTAAGCTTGAAGAATGTATGCTAAGTCTCACCATGTTTTTGCTCAAGCTCTCTGTCATGCACTTTTTATTGTCTGTTTCACCTGAAACTGATAAAAAGAGCAGTGTTGAGTAGATGAAATGCATGATACTGTATGAGAAGTTCTTGGATTCTTACTTCAGAATTTTAAACCGTTGGCAAATATTTTCCTGTATAATGCATGTGTGAGGAATACAAGAGAGGGCTAACCATAGTATTGCCTAATCTAACTGGAAATGCTAATATTGGATGCTTAAAAAAGGGACCTTTGGTTAGAGCCTTAGAGAAGAGTTAAAATTACCCAATTTTATATATAAGGAAGGTTATTTAAATATATAAGTGAGATCATCAAAATAGTAAAGGGAAAACGATTAAAATTTAAAAAAGAAATTTCACCCTATCATATCTGTGAATGACTACAGTGGTTTGATAAATTTTGTACTCTAGTAGCATGACATGTATATGACTTAAGCCGCGGAATTAAATGGTTAAAGAAATATACGGGTAGACTATATAAAAGAGGAGGAAACATAATTTCCATTATCAACAACCAGGATTAGAATAGAGAGGATGAAATACGAAGTTGGAATCACCTAAATATTAACCAAAAGGACTTCATGTCACATGGAACAAACAAAAAAGTCAAGTGATGAAGATAATAGAAAATTTGCTCCTGACAAAATATGCAACATCTCAATACTTCCATCAGTTTCATTACCAGCATTACATCATTCTAGACAAAAACGCATCCTAAACAAGCAAATAAAACTTGATCTTGTTCACTGACTCTCCATCTAAACATTGAAATAACAATGGTTCTCTCTAGTTTGCCCATCACTTCCAGCAAGCACATTAATATTCTCCATCTTTATCATAGATTTAGCAAAATCCCTAAAGAAAAACTCCCAAACCTGAGCATAAGCCCAAACTAACTCTATAACACTCTCTTCTACACTCTCGGAAACAAGTGGTTCATCACTCTGAAGCAAGCCGAGGCTGCTAAGCAAGTTGAGATAGTATTGGTTATCGAACCACCTTGAAGTCTTGAGGTCTAAAGGGATCGAGGCATTGTCTCTCCCATTTGTTGGGCATATTGACTGCAAAGATCTTCAGAATGTATAACTTCTGTATTCAAGGGACAATGGAGGTCCTTCGTATGCTGACTAACCATATAGTCTCCCTATGAAGCTCGTACATCTTGGTCTTCCAATGGTATTACTCCCTGCAGTTAATTACCATTGGTATTCACGTGTACATAATCCCACAAATAGAAAGATTAAATAGAAAGTTTGAAGTCAATATCCAAACATTATAACAACGATTCATGTTCTCTTGTAGCAGTTAATATCCAGTTTGATATAGCTCAGTACTGATGATTGTAAACATTCTGATACAGACCTAAATGTCCTTATAAATAAAGGACCTGCCTGCCTACTCAATGAATCATAGGTAAGCTCATACAGAGCATAAGCAAAAAACCATCTCTATATGTTCAAACTAAAACTAAACTTCTTCTACAAGTCAAAAACTATCAACTTCTAAATAGAGGACCAAGGTTTTTTTTTTCATTCAGTCATAGCATAAGCAGTACTCCACAGGAACTAAATATGAAAGTTCGTTTGTTATTTTACATGGCTACATAGGCTGAAAGTTTTAATACTCCTAAAGATGTATACTGACTCCTTTTTACCATATCAACCTACAAAAAAAATTTATGATTAGGGGCAATGGAGGAGAATTGAATATTGCTGGAGCAATATCAGACATTGCAGGACACCATGATGAGCTTGAAGAGCTTGTGACACGCAGTAGATTAGGGGTTTGAGTAGCATAGAGAAAGTTTGATTCGTGAAAGATTACACACAGAGAGCTATAAAATTTATGATTTGCGGGATCATAACAAATATATGCACTTTGAGATTTGAAATATCTAAGGAAACACATGAGCATAAGTGAGGAAGAAGTTTATGAACATTATATGGCGGGGGCCAAGGAAAGCAAATGCAACCAAATATTCTTAGTTTGTGACAGTTCAGTTGATCATGAAAAGGTGTTTCAAACGGAGAGGTATCATCAAGTATTAGGGTGGGTAGACGGTTGATTAAATATACAGCTGTAATTGAGAACTTTGCTTTGAGCAGTAGCTTCATGAGCTCCATTAGTGACAAAGCCAAATTTTAAAAGACACTTAGTGAGAGCAGTATCTATATATATGAGATATAAAATGATCTGTCATGATATTCATCTTAAGTATTGCTGTTAGTTGACATTCTTAAAGTCTTTTTTTTCATAATTACCAAGGAAAAATTGGTCATAGGAGCCGCACCTAACTTGACTTATTCAGTGCATAAATTACTTTGTTCAAAGTATTAACAGAAAAGTGCGAGCTGAAGAACCAATTATACTTGGTTTTTAAAGATTGTAATCTTCCAAATATGAATTTACCTATATCAACCACGTTAATAAATATGTTACTTGCATATGTAACCTTCAAAACCTTAAAGAACAGTGTCAATATTTATACCCTGAATCACAAGCCATCCCCTCTACCCTTCAGTTATAATATGAAACTAGAAAAAAAAATCCAGTAAGAACCTTGCATCAAACGTAAAGGACTTTATTGTGATTTACTGTCAAGATGAGTAGACAGCAAATTGAAAATCAATGCATTCTTGGATTGAATAACGCCATTAATAGCCTTGCATTAACGCAAAAAGCGTCAAACGAAGAGGCAATCAAGTAGCGACCTAAAGGGGAAATTCAACCTATATATGTAGTAGACTCAGGAAGCGAACCTTTACATTCAAATTCTTACACAAAGCAGAAATTAAAAGATTCAGACTTGAAATTTTAGACGAATAAATATATAAATACCTCAATATTCATTTAGCTTCTTAAACATGGAGGCAAATAAGGAAGTTTGCACATAAAGATTCAAACTTCTACTCTCTTATCTTCTCTCTGAATTGGCATATGAAGAAGTTTGAAGGCAGAACTGCATATCACCAGAACAAAAAGGCAACTAACCGAAGAAATTCGCCCTTCATCTTAGGAACTCTATTATGCAAAATAAGGAGTAGATTTATCATAAATTTCACCTTTTGTTTGTGATATGAGAAGCCCAACTTCATGCATGGTAAGGGAAAAGGAAATAGCTGCACCGGCTAAAGAAGCTCGCAGAAAACAGACGCAAAATCAAATTACAGCCCGACTCAAAGATAACCTGCCTTCTTCTGAGAAGTCTATGTAAGAAATGAAGAGCAGCATGAAAATCTTGTAAACAGTCTCGTCGAGCGGCTTCTACGTTATGTTAGCCGTGAGGTGCAAGGTTATAGCCCGAATTGAATACTTGTGGCCCTACACGTAAGAAACTGAAGTTTGATAAATAAATAACTCATGAATTAAGAGCCAGACATACATAAGATTAGAGCTAGACATATTATTGAGCGACAATAGCTACAAAAATACATAAAACACTAGCAAGTGCTCATAAGATCAAGAACCTTTTTAAAAAAACTAAAAGGATAAATTTTACCTAGAACGCTGAACATCAAGTCTTGTCTCCTATTTCAAGCGTAGCTGCAGATGATTTCTTAGGAGCACAAAAGCAAACAAACAAAAGAAAAAGACAAAAAGTGTACACACCTTTCATTTTCAAATGCAATTAATACAGATCTAAGTCTCGGACATCAATACGAGGGATGTGTTTAATGTTGGGCCAATCGGCACCTTCGTCCTCCGCGCACCGCTCCTTCAACGTCTCGTTGCAGCCGCT